AAGAACAGATTATGAAAGTTAGAACTCTAGAAAATAAGAGATGAGACAAACCTTAGAGGGATCAGCCAGTGGATGATGAACAGGAATCTCCAACACTGGTGACAAGCCATCCTTTTTTTCCTGTTCAACCTCAGTATATTCTTCTTCAGGCTTATATTGCGCCCCATCAGGTACAATATCCTCAGGCCTCGAATTTTTCCAAAAATCTCTCCTCTCATCCACAAGAGCCTTCTATATTAGAAGCAAAGACATAATTGTAGCTTGTGCATACTTACAAAATGTAACAACTTCACAGGGCATGAAAGAAAGAAATTGGACATTGGACACTAACCTTTTCCTTATCTTCACTCTGATTCTGAACTGTATACTCTGCTTGTTCTTCATCGTCAAATTCCCCAAAAATATCACAGATTACAGCTGCTATATGTGAAATTCGATTATCATCTTTTCTGTAACCTGGTGATCTACTGCAATGGGGAAAAGAAACGACTATAATAAGGATCAGAGGATCTGTTTCGAATTAACTTAAAATCAGATTTGAAACATTATGGCATGCAGGAAATCAGACTTAATATCGCCCAATAAATTTTCACTCTTTCTGAGGTCAGATTTTTCGATAGAGTTCTCTTACTCATTGAAATCCGAGCAGAGAACAAATAAAGACGAACGAAATTATTTGCAGGAGATTTGATCCACTACCCCATTACCTTCCTTCATTTTCTCTTTTATTGCCAGAACAAACTTCTTGAGAACTTGGATTTTTGAACTTGTTCTCTTTACAAATATGATTGACATCCTTGGGCTCACCATCCCTTTCCCATCCTGTCTCTCTCTGATCACTTCTGCCTATGCCTTTGGACTGGGGTCGTCCATCCTCTTCATTCTGAAAGGAAAATGGTCATGCTAATGATAAGTTCAAGATAGAAATGAGAGTACACGTATGATTCAACTTTATAAACCATGTTATACAAAAGGAAGAGGAAAGATATACATTTTCTGAATCCTATGGTCATTAGTAAATTAATAGCCATTGCACTGGAGGTCAATACATCTGCAAAAATGCTTCCTGAAGCAATAAATTCAAACAATGCAGCCCAACTGCCCATTTAAATGATCAAGCTCCTATTTCAACAAGAGGATTTCCCTAGTTTATTACAACTTACTAACCTTTAGATGAATAGTAATTCAAGAAACCAAGAGCCACTAATCACAGATAATTTATGTTAAACCTTCCTGACCAGACAGGCTCCTCTATGTGATCCTTCATCATAATGCACAGAAACAGTTAGATCTAGTTAAGTTGTCATCTAATCTAGTTGACAACCATGATCACGATTCATTTATGCATAGTTTCTGAAAAGGGAAAAACTATTCCTCCTATGTTTATAAGTCATACTCTCTCAAGCATAGTAGTTTCCCTTTCACTCAAGCTTAAGATTGACCACAATCACAGGCTAAAATGACAAACAAGTAAATTTCACTGTGTATACAACAACGAATAACAGGAATGGTGATATCCAAGTCAAGTAATCCATCTCAGCTGGAATTCGACAAAATGTTGAACCCACACCACCCCCACTAAAAAAAAATGTAGCTAATAAATGAGTGCCAATAATAGAATTTGAGAAGAGGCTCTGCAGCTTCGATCATGTCAATAGAATGGATCCCAAGATCCCTTTGGCTTGTCGTTTTCTTCTTCTTGATTTCGATTTTTTTTTTTTTTTATTCATGAACCAATTGCACTCCTTAACATTGGTTATTATTCTGACCAGATATTTCTCTGATCAAACATATATTTTATATCTAAGGTCATACATAAAATATGCACAAATAAGAGGCTTTTCCAGAGTTTATTTTAGGCCAATCTTCAGTTTTCTTATGCAGTCATTTTAAGGAACTGCTTTTGCAAATCACCAATAGTCCGATAGAAGAGTTGCCTAATTTTTTAGTGTTTCTATCTTGTTTAAATTGAGAATGCACTCCTTGTGTATTATCTTTTGATTTTGCTTTATAAAATTTCATGATTACTTATCAAAAAAAAACAGCATAAAGAAAGTGTAGGATGCAATAATT